TATAGACCAGAACCCCTGGAATCAAGGAAAGTCTGGGTCCCCATGAAGAAGGACCACACAATACTAAAGAAAATTTATACCATTAATCTTCCTCCTAGCTTCCCCTACGAGACCTATGACTTTTTACCAGGGTAATTGTACGCTGGAGGAGACTGGACACTGGCCCGTTGTCTTGGAGAGAACTGGACACTGGCCCTGAACTGACATTGATTCTAGGAAACCCAAGACATCACTGTGGCGTGTGAGTCAGAGGACAGGCTTCGGAATGTTAGAGGGTCACTGCACTTTTAGCTCAGGTCCATCTCACGGTGGGTCCAGTGAGTACCAAACACATCTCACAGTTGTTTTCCCAGTTCCAGGATCATCACTGGAATAAACATATGTAGCAGCTGGAATAATTCCCACATTGGTTCCCTGACCTGTGAAATAAGTACTCTTTTGGTGGGAAAGGATACATAGAAGCCTGTAGAAGTAATTCTAACTAGAAAAATAGTAAATATAAAACAATGATAAATTCACATAAATATTGCAGAGCTAGTGCCACCATCCAGACCTTGGAAAACAGAGGCGGTGATTCCCACCCTATCCCAATTATGCTCTCCTATTTGGCCTGTGCAGGTGACAGATGGATCATAGAGCATGACAGTGATCATTGTAAGATTGGCCAAGCAGTGACTCCAACTGCAGCAACTATACCAGACGTGATTTCATTTCTTAGCCAAATGAACACATCCCCTGATACCTAATACGCAGTTATTGATCCAGAAAATGTCTTTTCCTTTAGTATGTCCAGAAGGTCCACTAGAAGCCATTTGTTTTTAGCAAGGCAAGCCATTACCTTTTCCTGTCCTATCTCAGGGCTGTATCAACTCTCTAGTCCTATGAAAAAAATTACTTTATCTTGATCACCTTTATCTTCCAAAGGGTATCACACTGGCCCATCACATTGATGACTTTATGCTTATTCAACCTACTGAGCAATAATTAGCAGCTACTCTAAATTTGTTGGTAAGACATTTTCATGTCACAGAATGGGAATAAATATAATATCAGAGGTCTTTTACTTTAGCTAAATTTACTGGAGTCTAGTGATAGGGAGTATATTGAGATAGGCCTTCTAAAGTGAAGGATATGTTGTTATATCTGGCTTCTTCTATAAACAAAAAAGAAGTACAATTTCTAGTGGGTCTATTTGGAGTTTAGAAGTAACACATTTCTTACTTTAGCCCATTCACCATGTGACCCAAAACATTGCTCGTTTTGAATGGGGCCCAGAACAAGGTAAGGCTCTGCAGTAAGTCTACACTGCTGTATGAGTCGATGTGTCATTTGGTCCATATGATCAGATCCAGTACCACCTAAGGTGTCAGTGACAGACATGCTCTTTAGAGTCTTGGGCAGGTCCTTACAGGTGAATCACAGCATACAACTTCTGGATCTGGGGCAAGGTCCTACCACCTCTAACAGATTACTATCTACAGAGACTACTAGTGTCTTATTACTGGGCTGTAGTAGAAACTACATGCTTGGCCATGGGGTATCAAGTTACCTTATATCCTGAGCTGCCTGTCATGAACTGGGTATTATCTACTCCACCAGGTCATAAAGTTGGGTATGTACAGCAAGACTTCATTACCAAATGGAAGTAGTATATATGTGATGAAAAAGGGACACAAATTCCTGTGGTCCTCACTTCTGGTGCACTGCCTTCATTCTCCCATCAGGCACCAATGGCCTCATGAAGAGTTCTTCACAATAAGTTGACAGAGATAGAGCTTACTGATAGTTCTGCACAATAAGCTAGCACTAACTTAAAGTGAACAGTGTACATATATGAGTTTTTGGTAACAGAAATATATTTAATATTTAATGTCAAAAATAAAGAGTCAGCAGCTTCTGATAGCTCTTAAACAGAAGGTTCATATTTTCTTTTTTTAAAAAGAATTATTTAATTTAATTAATTAATTAATTTTAATTTTATATTGGGCACATGCACTCACTAGAGAGAGACTGGGGGAGGAGGGAGGAATGAGAAAATAAGCCACCAGTGATGGGACTCAAACCATGGTTAGCCATGTGGGAGTCCAGCACCTTAACAACCATAGCCCCTGCTAGTCTTGGTTTATGTTTTCTTAATCCTACGTATTCACTAAGAGCAGATTTACACATTAATATGAATATCAGCACACCATAAACTATTTCGCTGTTTTTTTCCTTCTATTTTCCTTCATCTTTGAGTATTCCTTATTCAATGGATGTACATACACACACTCTTATATGCACACAGGTAGGATGAGTTGGTGATAATTCATTGTATATCTCAAAATAACTAGAAAAGAGGATTTTGAAAAGTCATAACACCAGAACCAGTAGTTAGTGTAATGGCTATGTCGTTGGACTCCCACGTAGTTGACCGAGGTTCGCGTCCCAGACCCGGTGGCTTACAACTCACGCCGGGCGCATGTGCGTGCGTGCCCAAGATCCCGAGAGGAGAATGGAGGAGAAGGGATTGCGGCGTGACCATCCCCTGGGGGGTGATTTCTCGCTTTCTGTCTCTCTGTCTGTCTCTGCCTGGCTGGGAAGAGCACACGCCCTATAGCGAAAAAACCTCTCAAAAAAAAAAAAAAAAGTCATAACACAAAGTAATGATAATTCCTTGAGATGGTAAATAGGTTTATTCCTCTGATTTGGTCATTACACACTATATTCATGTATTAAAAAGTCACATTGTGGGGCCAACAGATGGAGTAGTGGTTATATTGCTGGACTCCCACATGGCCAACCATGGTTCAAGTCCTGGACCCAGTGGCTTGAAAATCACACTGGGCTCAAGTGCATGCATGTCCAAGATTCCAGGAGGAGAATGGAGGAGAAGGGATTGAAGCATGGCCATCCTCCAAGGAGGGTGACTTCTGACTTTCTCACTGTCTGTCTCTCTTTCTGGCAAGTGCATGTGCCCTAACACAAAAGCCAGACATATGTACAATTGTTATGTCAATTAAATATATCTTCTGTTCATAATTTCGAGTGAGGGTGACTTAATTGTAGAAGATTTTCAGGCAGTGTAGTAAAGTGATCACATGTACGTTGTTAAGAAATAATTCAGTCAGATGAGAGAAGAGTAACTTAGGGTGGCAAGGTATGGATATAAAAGAAGTAGTTAAGCAATATTAACCTTTGATTTATAATTTCTATATATTTAAGAGCATTGGAAATATCTAGAAAAATTATGCATACAAAATTCAGATGTTGAGAGAACAGAAAGGAAAATAGTGTGCCTTTTCTTTTTTTTTCTTTTTTGAGAGGTTTTTGCTATGGGGCGCGTGAGCTTGCCAGAACAGAGAGAGACAGAGAGACAGAAAGTGAGAAATTATTCCCCCAGGGGGGATGGCCACACCGCAATCCCTTCTCCTCCATTCTCCTCTTGGGATCTTGGACATGCACGCACACGCACCTGGCGTGAGTTTAAACCACTGGGTCTGGGACTCAAATTGTGGTCGACTACATGGGAGTCTAGTTGCCAATTGCTGGTCCCCCTGTGACCCTTTTATACAATGGAAAATGATGTGTTTTAATTATGGAACCATATTGCACTTTAAAAAGTTCATTTGAAATACTCGACCAATTACTAAAGTTATGGCGTTCCTCATGTCTTTTAAGAACAGTAAAAATACTACTTTAATTCAAAAATACATTGTGACTCTTCCCATTTTATCCTCATTACTTTGAACTAAGAAAATTTATTTGAAAATCTTTGAAATCTGGGACCAGCTGTTGGTGTAATGGCTACATTGTTGGACTCCCACGTAGTCGACTGTGGTTTGATTCCTGGACTCGGTGGCTTATATTCACGCCGGGCACGTGTGCATGTGTGCCCAGGATCCTGAGAAAAGAATGGAAGAGAAAAAATTGCAGCATGGCCATCCCCCCGGGGGTGATTTCTCGCTTTCTGTCTCTGTCTCTCTCTGTCTTTCTGGCAAGTGTGCACACCCTATAGCAAAACCCTCTACAAAAAAAAAAAATCTTTGAAACCTTATTCAATAATAATAATAATAATTATTATTTTTAAACTTGACCTTCCCCATCTACAACCTATAGAAGCTCTTCATTTTCCCTCTGTTTTCTCTCTAAGCACTTAATTACATATTATTATCCTTTTCTAATAAGATCTTTCCCTTTCTTCTCCTATACTGTTATCTTCTTTACATTTGACTGTAAAATATTGTAAGATTTAAGAGTAAGGGTAAGGGAAAGGCAGTAGCACAGAAGTGGAAAAATTAGGCTGGTAGTTATAGGATTGGTGTGAGTGTGCCAGAGAAGGGCAACAATCTACTAATATTTTACTGTACTAAGCTTTATTCCATCCAAACTTAGACATGGGCCTTGGAGAAAATGATGCTTTCTGAAGTATGACAAGAAGGATTAACAAGAAAAAGACCTCTCATTTAGGGTTTTGCATATGAATAATAATCAATCAATAAAAAAGAAAAAGACCCCCTCAATAAGATTGAATGATATTAAAATCAAAATAAATGTTTACCCAGTTTATTTCAACAAAATTAATATATCTAAAATAAGATGACTGGCAGAAGTATGATTAACAAAATAAGATCCAAAAGTACACCAACATACATAAAGATTAAAAGGAAGATAGTGAATTCAGCTGTCGGTGAATTTTTATTAGTTTCAGTAAAAAGCTAAAGGGAAAAAAAAAAAAAACAGATTGTTGAGCACTGAAGATAAAGAAAACCAGCAACAATTATATATAGGCAACCAGCTAAGGCTTCTTTTTAAAAATAATTATATGTTTAATTTTATTTATTAATTTTAACTGAGAGATACAGAGAGAGACAGGCAAAGGAAAAGTGAGAGAGAAAGTGAGAAAGCAAGCCACCAGGTTTGGAGTATAAACCACAGTTGGGTATATGGGAGTCCATTGCCCTAACGACCACACCATCTGCTGATTCCCCAGCCAAAGCTTCTCCTTGAGATCTCTGTTCTTATGAGAAAAAGGTCTTGGCTTGATCCATGTGCTTTTTTATAGCTTCTTTTATCTCTTTATTCCTCAGGCTATAGATAATGGGGTTGAAGAACGGGGACAAAACAGCAAAACCCAGAGCGATGGCTGTATCCCAGAATAAGGAGTAGGTGGCAGAGAAGCGTAGGTACATGAGAGCCACATTGCCAAAGAAGAGCAAGAAGACAGTCAGGTGGGAGACACACGTGGAAAAGGCCTTGCGGCGACCTTCAGCTGAGCGGATACGTAGAATCACAGCCACAATACCAATGTAGGACATAAAAATGAGCATCACGGCAGTAATAATCTCTACCGCATGGATGATATCCACTACCTGAATCATGACAATGGCTTGTGTGTCTGTGCAGGCCAGGCGCAGCACTGGGAGAAAGTCACAGAAAATATGCTCGAGGCGATTAGAACGACAAAAGGGCAGTGTAGAGATCCAAGCTATCTCAGGGAGGGGAGTGATAAAGCCACAAATACAGCAACTTAAAGTCAGCTGGGTACATAGCTTGGGGGTCATGATAGTGGGGTAGCGAAGAGGGTTGCAGATGGCCAGGTAGCGATCAAAGGCCATTGCTGTCAAGAGGCAGACCTCACTGATGCCTGTGGAATGGAAGAAATACATCTGCAAGAGACAGCCGTTTAAGGAAATGCTCCTCCTTTCACTAAGGAGGCTGGAGAGCATCACTGGGATGGTGGCCGTGGTATACCAAATCTCCAGGAAAGAAAGTGCGCTAATGAAGAAGTACATGGGGGTGTGCAGGTGAGTATTCAGCTGGACCACTGTGATGATGACCAGGTTTCCAACCACAATGAAAGCATAGATGAAGAGCAGTGGAACAAAGCAGATGACAGACTCTCCCCAGGAATGAGGAAAAGCAAAGAAGATAAACTCCTGAGCAGTGGTCCCATTGGGGCTCCTCATCTCCACATTGAAGTGATGGTTTCGATTCCCAGTGTAATCATTCACATCTTCTAAATCTAAGATGATCTGAGAATAAATGTGCTTACCAAAAGCCAGCCTCCAGATAGACTCTGTATTGAGGATGTGGACGAAGACAATGGAAGAAGGAAATGTTAAAATTCTATCATTGCTTACAACTAATTTATAATGTGTAAAATATCTAGCTAAAAACACAACCAATATTTGAACCAGTGATTCTGAAGTATAAGCATTCATCTGAATCACTTGAAGAGCTTGTTGAAATTCTGACTGGTAGTTCTTATAGTGAGAGTTTCTAATTTGGCAGATTTTAGACATGGCCGCAAAATTTGCATTTCTGACAAATTTCCAGGTAATGATTCTGCTGCTCAAGGGTCCATTATTTAAAATAATTTAAATCATTGTGCTTTAATAAAACAGAAATAGACAAGACATTCAAAGACTAGCAAATAATTTAATGTTTTTTCCCATATGCAAATGTCATTGATTTTCCCACCATTCCCCTACAAAGTTCCTGAAATCCCCTTTCATGCTGCCAGTTTATCTGATTCTTGACATATTATTTGACCGACTCTTAGAATGATCAAGTCAAAGATGTTGGCTGTGTATTATACCCAGCTTCCTTTCTTTCCTTTTTGTAAATTATTCAGTCTTTCTTCATATATATATTCTTAATAATTGAGAGAATCTTTGGAGAAGAAAACCTATAGAAAGATTTTCATGTATTTTATCTTCTTTTACAAGATGGGCCTTTCTTCTTCCTCCCATGCTTTCTTCATTGTGTATTATAGGTAGGAGGAGTTCAAAGATATAATCAAAGGCCTTTGGTTAAATAAAATATTCTATAAAAGCTGAATATATTAAGCAGTAAATGAGGAACTGCTGTAAGAACACTGCATGGGGATGGTAGAACGCTAGGGTTCCATGCAATGCAATTTAAATGCCATAAATTATATGGTAGTTTTCCTATCAACTTGTTTCCTTTTCAGAATTGATTTTATCTTCTATCAAATATGCATGTACATTCTTATTTTAATGAGAAAAAATGACCTCTACTCTGTCTTTACAGTTCTTGTTTCAACACCATTTTTATCTAACATATAAAATGTATTTATTTTCTTTATCTCATCACTCCTTGAATTCCTTTGAATAGACTTGCTAATGTCAATTTTCTATACATCTTTTTTGTTTGTTTTTAAGATATAATAGTGACTTTTTGATTGAAAACTAAATGGCTTCCCTCTTTCCTCATGGTCCCTGATTCCCAAAGGTAAATCTCCTAATTCTTTAAACTCTCTCCTTCTTTTTATTTTTTTTTTAATATTTTTTTTGGAGAGGTTTTTGCTATAGGGCACATGCACTCACCAGACAGAGAGAGAGACAGAGAGAGAATGCAGGAAATCACCACCCTCCCCCGGGGGGATGGTCACGCCGCAATCCCTTCTCCATTCTCTCAGGATCTTGGGCACACACGCACATGCCCCTGGCGTGAGTTTAAGTCACTGGGTCCAGGACTCGAACCGCGGTCGACTACGGGGACCAGTGACATAGCCGTTACACTAACTGCTGGTCCCTACTCTCTCCTTCTTTTGCCTATGAATTATCACACTATCCCAAGATTCCTCATTAGCAACTCCATTTTATATCTCTAAAGTATGACAATAAACAAATTCTGTCTTCATTTTTCTGTTCTAATTCTTACTTTCTGCCACATAAAGGTGTCATTTATTTCTAGGTAGCATTTATTCAAGGTTGTTTTTCAACTTCTATTAGCTTTCTATTCTCATTAATTAATGTAATTCCCGAATTTATTGTTTTGATCTATTTAATGAGCCCTACATTTTCCCTTTTTAGAGGTTTTTACCTTAGGTGTGTGCTCTCATCAGGGAGAGAGGCAGAGACAGTGAAAGGGAAAGTGAGAAATCATTCCCCAGGGGTGATGGCCATATTGCAGCCCCTTGTCCATTCTCCTCCCAGTATCTTGGGAATGTGCACACATACTTCCAGCATGAGTTTCAATCCACTGGGTCCAGGATTCAAACCATGGTCTGCCATGTGGGAGTCTGGAGATGTAACCTCTACACCATCTGCTGACCCCTCACTGAGCCTTACATTTTCTTCAAGACTCCTACTTAGAAGCCTCACTTTGACCAAAACTTGCCATTCCCACTTGATTATGTCAGCCCAAAATTCATATGCTGAGTTTTTAACTCAAAGTATGCCTTAATGTGAGTATATTTGGAGATAGAGTCTTTAAAAAGGTAATAAAATTAGAATGAGTTCATTAGAGTAGTACTTAATCCACTAAGACTGGTCTTTGTACAAGAAGAGATTTCCACACAGATAGTTTAGATGGAAGACCATTAGAAGACTCAAGGAAAAGACAGTCATTAGTAAGCCATGGGAAAAAAACCTCAGAAGGAAGCAACCCTTTCAAAAACTTAACTTCTAGTCTTCCAAATTGTGAGAATGTACACATCTGTTTAGGGTACTCAGTCCTCTGGGCTTTCCTGTGGCAGCTCTAACAAACCCTTACGCTCTGAACTCTGCCTGTTTTCTTCACTGACTACCATTTCTGTTGAACTAGATGCCAACTTTACCCATTTTCTACATATTGTCCCCTCAGTTCCCAAGCCAAATAATACCGAAGTGTTTAGCTTATTTTTTTCTTACTATATCAAGACTATATTTTATTTTCACTGTCTTTACCCTAATTTGATGCCTAGTCACAATTGTTACAATATTGCTATGAGTTTTCAACAGCCTCTAGGTCCAGTCTTACTTTTATCTATTCAAATCTCCATTCTCTGACGGTAAAAATTATGAAAACCATTAGTTTCTTCATGTGATTCCCCTCCTATACCTATACTTATGGTTTATTTTTTTTACTATTCCTTCTCCAAACTAAAAGAAACAATCTCAATTTTTCTAAGAAAACTCTTCAGTCACTGAATCAAAAAATAATAAGCTATTTTTATTGTCTGGTATTGAAAATTGTCTTGTTTAGAGTATGACTCAGTAATTTCTTATTTATATTGCCTGTAGAATTTATTAGTAGTTTCTTATTTATATTGCCTATAGAATTATTTGTTCATTGATTGTGTAAATAAGGCTCATTAAACTTCTAACTTGTTTTATGCACACAGCAGCTAGCATCATTCTCCTTTAATAATGTACTGAAATTTACTTTTTAAAAAAATTCTTCAGAAAGCAGTAATTTTTTATCTCCTGTTACTATGGCAACTAGCTAATTATCAATCTAGTTTGGCAAAAATGTTACTATTCCACACACATAACTTACATTTCTGGTCTCTGAAACATCTGTAAATTTTTTTTCTTTCCTGAAATAACTTCCTCTCACCTTTCTTCCAATCTCTGTCTTTTTTCTAAAAAGTTCTAGATATGTCTCTTCTAATTTTAAGAAACTAATAACACATGTCTCTAATCACTCTATTTCTATTCTTTGTGAGATAAAATGTAGATAATCAAGATGGATGGATAGATAGGTAGACAGAAAGATATGTGGGGATGGGTGGGAAATAGATCTCTATCCACACACATATATTCATTATTTATACAATTTTTTAAGTGTTCTTGATTTTTCACATCTACGGCTGGTCTTTCCCATAAGCCCTGAAATCTAAGGATCTCAGAGTAGGGTTCTAAAAACTGAACCCGACTGCTAGTTTGAGAAGGTACCTTCTGAACAGACCTAGGACTGATTCTCTAATTTCCTGAAAAGCTATGACTAAACCACTAAAAGATATAACCCAAAAAGAAAAAGAATTGAACTTTGCCTATCAGGTTCTCCTTTGTGTTTATCCAAAATTCAGTAATAATAAATTTACCATAAATGTGAATGACGCTAGTCATCCAATAGCAAACTGGAAATCTCACCAGATTCCTGAAACATTTCTTCTTGAAATATTTGGGAATGAATCACAATACTCATATGTGGTTTAAAACAGTCCTTCACACCCATTTCCTAGGAAATGTAGTTGTTTAAACCTTTACACATTTAGTAA